AAAGCTCTGGTTACTAGTCATATTTGAGAAAATAGGAAGGTGCCGCCTGTTCTAAACGGTGATAGTGATCAGTACATTGACCTTCCTCTCGCGGAAAGTTTGGACCTGTGGAGTCTCCTTTGATTGCGAGGATTTTCCTTCATTTCCATCGTATAAAAAATTCCCTTAAGGTAATTCACCGAATACTGTTCTTCGATTTTTATGAGAGAAGACCAGGTTCAATGGCAACTCCGGACAGGAGATCCAAGCGAGAAAATAAATCCACTAGCTTCGACCAAAACAATACTTGATCGATAACAAACTCGAGCATAAAAGTGTACAGCTAAGAAAACTGAAAGTGTAGTGCAGAAAGCTTTTAGGATAAAAAGACAGCATTTTGATTGTGATTTTCGAGAGGGCTTTTTTGCCGGCATCTGGTGGACTTTATAATGATAACGTGGTAATCACTTTTTGACACCTGTCAATCCACGTCAGGTAACTTCCATCGACCTTATCTTTGGTCCTTACTTCCACAGTCTCATATTACCCAAGTTCTCTCATAACCAATATCCATCGTGTGCAAAACCATATGTCCCTGTTGACAACTTCCACGGTCACGTTCTTAGGCGATAATTGCTTTATCGATAACTTCTATGATTGAGTCCTTAAGTGCCCTAGTGGTAACCACTTCATCGATAACTATTATGATCGAGTTCTCAAGTCCTATTGCAGTAACCACTTCATCGATAACTCCTATGACTGAGTTTTCAAGTGATAACTATTTCATCAATAACTTCCGCAGCTAATTTCTTAGGCGGTACCTATTCCCTCTTTAATTTACTCTGCCTCAAATTTCAAATATTTAAAATCTCCCCACCAGCATCACTATTGGCAACTGCCAGCTGTCTGTTGCCGTACTTTGACAACCATAACCACAGTACGAATACATCTCTTCATTCATGGCTATATGTATGTGGTTATCTCATATTTAAGTTCTATTTTGTGTATTTCTTACTCTCATACGAATTTCTATTGTCCACAACCTAATTATTTTTTGGGTGTCAACAGAAGGAAATAGGAGTGATGATTTTATACGATTTTAACTAAGTTTTCATGTCTCGAAAACTTTATTATCAAACTTATATGCAATTCTTCTTTTTGTATTTGTGCACAGCTTTTCCTACTTGAATGTCTTTTTCTAGGTAGATTTCCACAAAGTTGTATACTTCGATGTATTTTAATTTGCAACACGTCGAACTCGGACGATTTCGATCACGAAAATCACCCTCCGCGCCTCAAAAAACTTACGATCCAACTAATTTTTCTACATGTTCACCCAAATTCTAAACGAAATAACACTAAGCGTTATGATGTAAGTTTTATTACTGGAAACGGAAATTTTCGAATTTCACATAAATAATATTTCGAAAATTTCGGATGTCACATATGCAATAAGTTAACACATACTATACAGCCACTAAAACATTTTCAGGAACATCCTCCTCCGCCTTCTTTTTCTTCAGGGCCTCATAGACTAGCTTCGGGAATTTATATACCAATTGCAGGACACCGTAGACATACTTCGGGAATCTGTATATCAATTTCAGGTCTCCTAATAATCTCGGGATGAAATGAACTCTTCGTAATAATTTCCAGATGGAGCACAAAATCTGGCCCACCAAAAAAAGGGCCATTATTGCAGCCTATACCAGCACTACAACCCCAACTCTTTCATATTTTGTATTGCTTTTGTTGTCCAGGGTCAATATTAGTGTGGGTATCGCATATGTCTCCGCCGCAACGATAATTGCAATCTACATCGTCAGCATCGCCATCCTCGTGAAAATTTGCCGCTTCAAAGGTCGATCGCTTATGAGGATCAAAATGACGTTGAGGGACGCGAGGTAGCTGATCGTGTTGCACATTACGAAAAGCTGGTACTCTTTCGGGAACCTGTGGGCCATCACGAAGTTGCCCGCGATATGTGCTATATGAGTTTTGCCACACTCGATATCGTCCTGCCAAGCCCCGCCGGGTGGGGTCATTCGTTCTTGGAAGGCCATGGTAGTTAACAGTATTGCTACCACCATAAGTATCTTGTGCATGCTGTTTTGCCAGCAACTCATCATTTCCCTTTGATTTTTTCTTCCTCCAAGTATGCGGAATCCGGTGGCCATATTAATCGGGCGAGTTCTGTCCTTTTCTTGGTCCCCACCAAATGGTGCCAAATGCATTCCCAACTTCATGAATACTCGCATGCCAATTTATATTGTGCAAAAAATTCCCACCATTGTTGGAAAACCGAATTGACTTAACTGAATTTCCACCAAATTGACTTAACCGAATTTGTTGGACAACCGAATTTGTTTTGATCTTGCACCTTTGACGAGTACGACAACAAATTACACCCTTGAAACTCCTGCATGTCAACTTTGAAAAGCTCTTGCTACTAGTCTTATTTGGGAAAATTGTAAGGTGCCGTCTGTTCTAAACGGTGATAGTGATTAGTATATTGACCTTCCTCTTATGGAAAGTTTGGACCCATGGAGTCTCCTTTACTTGTGAGGATTTTCCTTCCTTTCTATTGTGCAAAATATTCCCTTAAGGTAATTCATCGAATGCTGATGACTTAAGGTAATTCACCGAATGTTGTCCTTTGATTTTTTATGAGAGAAGATTGGGGTCAGTGGCAACTCCGGACGGGAGATATCCAAGCGAGAAAATGAATCTACTAGTTTCGACCAAAATAATACTTGATTGATAACAAACTCGAGCAGTACAATAGATCTAAACCAATCCCACCAGCCGTTTATTGGTGGCAGTATTGATCTATAATAGGAAATTGCACTTCAACTTCGTTGATGACACGTTACACTAATGCTCAAATATAAAAGTCTACGACTAAGGAAATTGAAAATGTAGTGCAGAAAGTTTTAAAGATTAAAAGATAGCATTTTGATTGTGATTTTCGGGGGGGCTTTTTGCCGGTCATCTGGTGGTATTTATAATGATAGCGTGGTAACTGCTTTTTGACACTTGTCAATCCACATCAGGTAACTTCCATCGACCTTTTCTCTACTCCTTATTTCCACAGTCTCGGATTACCCACATTCTCTCATAACTCATATCCATCGTGTGCAAAACCATATGTCTCTGTCAACAACTTCCACGGCCACGTTCTTAGGCGATAACTGCTTCATCGATAACTTCTATAACTGAGTCCTTAAGTCCCCCGGTGGTAACCACTTCATCGATAACTCCTATCATTGAGTTTTCAAGTGATAACTGTTTCATCGATAACTTCCGCAGCTAATCTCTCAGTCAGTAATTGTTCCCTCTTTGATTTAATCTGCCTCAAATTTCAAATATTTAAAATCTCCTCACCAGCATCATTATTGGCGGCTGCCAGTTGTTTGTTGCCGTACTTTGACAACAGGACCCGAGTACGGATACATCTCTTCACATGATATATGTATGTGGTTATCTCATATCTAAGTTCTATCTTGTGTATTTCTTACTCATACAAATTTTTATTGTCGACAACCTTATTTTTTGGGTGTCAACAGAAGGAAATAGGAGTGATGATTTTATGCATTTTAACTAAGTTTTCTTGTCTCGAAAACTTTATTATCAAACTTAAATGCATTTCTTGTTTTTTTGTTTATGCGCAGCTTTTCCTACTTGAATGTCTTTTTCTAGGTAGACTTCCACGAAGTTGCTTTGCTTGACCTCGTGTAGAGAATAAGTAGTTAAATCATTAATACTTGGATTTTTTTTGAATCAATAGTTTTGGGCAATCACAAAAACATATTGGGAACTAAGGACATAATCATTTCTCCATTTAGACAAAATGATACCAGCTCTCTCTAGAACTAGGAATGCACCGAACAACGAATCACCGCACGTGACGATAAGAACGCGATCAACGCACGAAAATATTCATTGAGAAATTTTTTTCCTTGCGACAACATGGTGTCCAGGCCTTCTTTCGAGCACACGCAAGTCTCTCTAATTCGACAATCGTCTGTTGTCGGATTCCGTCGCGATCGAGTAATTATTGAGGGATTAGAGTCCTCCTAAGATTGACTCGGAATGGAAATGCAAGGGCAAAAGGCAACCCACGGGGATATTTTCCCATAGGGCTTCCGATAATGAAACCCAGTCCATCCGAAGTGGGACCACAATCACATGCTTTCCACGCTGTCGGACATCAATGTTCCATTTGGGAACGGGAAGGTGAGGGTTTTTTTTTTGGGTTTTTCTCTGCGCTAGCGATGTGCGATGCGGGGTGGCGAGGGAGGCGTTCGCCGTAGAGAGAGGATATTTCGGGCTGTTCTCCGGACCACCATAAGGCCCTCGTTTCACAATTCGGAAGGAAAAACGGGAAAATTAGAATTAAAGAAGGTTAACTGAAATTCCAGAGAAGAGAAAAAGATCAGAACTCAGGGGCGGGGCGGCGCGGGGGTCCACGGAACAGCTGTAGGAATGTGTGTCGACGTTCTCATGCCAAGCACAGCAAATACGTCCACATCTCACAAGCAGTTTGCCTTTTGTTTTAAAAAACGAATTCGGTCGCTTTCGGTTTTTCTAGGGACTCTTCACAAAAGACTTGACCGAAAGAGGGCCCATCCCCGAGTTCTCGGTGGCGTCGAAGAGAACCCCATTTGAAATGCCCACCACCCCCAACCATAAAACCAAGATCTGCCCCTTTCCACGAATACGGAAAAACAAGAATAAAAACAAAAGAAATCAAAGGCCGTTTTTGAGATATGATTAGAAAGAACAAGAACCCTCCGGGGTAAGACCAGAGGACGTAGGCAGAATATGCCAACCTCGCCGGAATGAATCCGACCTGAGAAGGACTTGGGAATTGTCAATGCCACCAACCATTTTTATGGGAGCACTGCCGAGATGACAGCATAACACGGTGGATTCTGATTCGTCTAAATCGTCTGTCACTAGCTAAGCTAGTAGCCCCCCAACTTGACAACAGGCCTCTTAATACGAAATACATACCCATCTGACGGTAGAATAAAAAAACCAGCTTTATGAGCACTGTCTGAACATTCCGTTAGACAAACTGCCAACCGCGAGCATATGCCATCATCTTAGGGATGAAGTCATGAATGACCGCCGGATTTCTAGTTGCCGATTGCAGGTAATTATAGCAGCAGATTCAACAAAATTTGATTAATTAGATGCACAGACAGAGCCGGGAAACGGAAGACGTTTCTCGTGCTAGAAGTTCTAAGCAAACTTCTATAACACGTCCGCGAATCGTGATCCCGGCTTATGGTTGCATTTAAGATGGCCTGAGCAAAACTTCTGACGATGCTTGAGTTAGCAAACCAATATCTTCAGTTAACCACTTTGCCGAATTTACAAGGTCAGAAAGCTTCTGGGGAGATGAAAAATGGGCACTGCCAAATTCAGTATTACGGATAGAGAGTTGGCTTCGGTTCATATTGTACTTGAGGCAACACAGAAAAAAAATGGGGAAAAGGTGTTAAAGTCATAGAAACATACCCTCTTGCTTCCGTTGATCTTTGGGGTAAATCTCCGAAAATGTCACAATTGCTCGACATGGTTAGTAATCGCATCGGGGCAAGAGTTAGCTTGCAGAAGCTCCAAACGATTAAACGGTGGAGCAAACTGCAGTATGTAGTCTTCATCTGAAAATGCACAACCACATCATGAGAAGTTCACATCACTATAGATCTAAGTGTTAAAATGACAATCTCACAAATGAGGAGCCACTGCAAAACTAGCGATCATCTTACAAAGACGAGACATAAGGTAATAAGATATAGATATCGGAATCTCACTTTCTTTGACTGTTCCATACAGCCAGCAGAGGACTTCATCAGCAAATGCCAGGCACACTCCTCCCTGCCAACCAACTTCATTTTCAATTCAAGCAGAGGGAAGCAAAAAAGAATGCTCCCAAAGATATCATTTTGGACAGGTGAAGTGCAACTTGTATTTCTCCTACCTCATGAGGTTACTTGTGCTCATGGAAATCAAACAGTAAAACCAATTCTCATTGCACAAGAAAACGAAATTGAACTGCTTCTCTTGCTCAAGTTATTGCATTACGGATATAATACCCTCAATTTTGATCCAGCAATAACACATAACACCAACTTGATCTTAGAGAAAAGGAAGCATGATATTCATACAGAGCACGGTTCACATGAATCGGATAGTTCATGCCATGCAAGGATGTAATTGTGCATCAATTGGAAGAGAACAAGCAAAACCGTCAGCGCCATCCGAAAAAGAATTGCCACAAGCATGACTTACCTGCCAATAGTTCTTCATTTTTACTCTCTGAGTTATGTCTTTGGTTCTTAATCTCTCTGTCCGGACAAGCCGGCCGGCATCATCCCTACAATGACAGCACCACCCATCAATTGTTTTCAGGGCTAAAATGGTCAATGTAGTAAGATAGACCTACATATGATGCAGAAACTGTAATACAATAAGGCAACACAACAGAGGAGTGAAGAAGTTCACAACATTGGATGTTCTTTAGGAGAGCTAAAGAGGAAACTAGGGTCTTCAGACCTATTCTGAACTAACCACCATGTAATACTCAGTGTTTGAGTACAGCTGCGGAGATAAAATGTCACCTATAAGAAGACAAAAGATGAGATCTACCTGAATCCAACAACTATACAAGGAACACCAGCCAGGAAGGTTTGAATCTGCAACAACAGATTAGTGCTTTGTCAGCAGACTGGCAGAAATTAAGTGGTACGCACAAGATACATGAAATAGCAAGGTAATCCACACAGAAAGACTATCAATCCCAAATTAGGAGGCTTAAAGGTCCACTTAAATTATGTCTATACAATCATCAAATTACAAATAGAGGAATATCTAAAAGGGATTTTCACCATTACATTTCAACAGCCACAGAAAAACGCATAAAGGAAGTAGAACATAAATCTAATCACGACATTGAAAATGGGAAGCTAATCATGACATTGAAAAGCTTACCCAGAACTTGAGGAGCTTCTCTCGCTCATATCTTTCTTCAGTGTGATATTCTAACTGCAGAGTAGGTAAATATTTCAAGAGGAGAAAATAAAGAGAAGGCCACTAATTGTTTGACGATAGAAAAAATAGAAAAAATGTAGCAGAAAAGACACAAGCGATGAACAATCTCATTACCTCACGGCTGGTCTTTAGCTCGATATAAAATCTCCTTCCATCATCAGCTGAATCACAACAATCCATTTCAGCCCCCATCAATATCCGATGAGCCCCTAATTTAGTTTTTATCACAGAACAGTATTCAACATTGGCGTCGACATGATGTATCCCTTCTCCCACAGCTCTTTGGGGGTCTTCAGTTGCAAGGTTCTCAAAGCAATATCCCCAGTAACATCTACATACATAAGCGAACGAGTGCAGTGAGATCCAATTTCAAAGTCTATTCGATGCTCTTGACATCAACTAACAAAGAATTATCCTACAAAAGAAAAGCACCTATCCTTGATTTAAGTGTCATGTTAAAACCATAATGGTTACGGAAGACTAGTACCTGCCAAAATGGTTCTCCATAAGTTAAATGCCCACAAGAAGTACGGCAGGTACAAAATCAAGGAGTGACACTTCCACAAAGCAGCTACTTCAGAAGGCCTCATAGAGATTGCAATCTAATTCCACACCTATGTTGGTTTGCCTATTTAATATGAAATGACTATAAAACATGTAACATAGTTGAGTACTGAATATATATTCATTTAAGTGAAGACTGAAAATGATCCCATTGATTCAAAAGTTGTCCCCTGAGTAGTCACTAAACTTGAACATCCCCACCCCGTAGTTTCTCTTCCAAAAAAAAAAAAACAAAGAAGCAAAAAAAAGGTTCCCAAAGACATTTCGCAAGTTTCAACTATTAAGATTGGTCATATCCATCTGACATGCAGCTTTCAGCAGAAACTCACAATACATTCATCTTCTTGTTCTCATGCAGAGAAAACTACCAATAAGATCAATGCCACTCACAATCTAATCTAGCATACATTTCAACGTGAGGAACCTAGTTTACAGAAGTAGAAAAAGAAATCAGGGAAGTGCAAAAGAGAATTTTCATATCAATATCTGCGAAAATAGGTCAAGCGATAATCATGTACATCCTCGAGTTTACGTATAGTAGTACCTTCTGCGATCTAAGTCACTTTGAGGCCTTTCTGGAAGTTTGTGAACATCAAGGTAGACAACCCCATTCCTTTTATGCACCCCCATCTCCCAGGGCTCATTCCTAATATAAGCTGTAGCCAATATCTGCAAAACAAAAATAGCATACATTGCATAAGACACCGATGTGAAGGCTTCGAATTGAATGTCATATACTTTCAGTTCCACAAGATAGAGTTAACGTGCATTCCATATTAGAGCATTTAATAATAGTACTTGATGAAGGAAAAAAAATAATTACATGGCAAGACAAAGAAATGGCTCGACACTCTTTTTGTTTTGTTTAGCAGTAAAATCTGAAAGATGAGTATAAGTCTTATTAAGCCTTTCCAGTATTCAATTTGGTAAATGGGCTGGCACCACAATGTTTCTTATAAATTAATAAAAAATTTACACAGCTATAAATTCATAAAGAGGATAATACATTACCTTATTGAGGTTGTTCCGGAATGTCTGCAGTCACAGAAATCCCAAGGGGAAGAAATTAAACCTAGAACTTAAGCAAAATCCAGGTAGATGGAAGTCATATGCAGCATATTTCATACCACAAAATGGATGTTCTGCAGCGGGATATTTTTGTCCCTTACGCAAGCAAGAAGGTCACCAAAACCCTCGGAACCCAATTCTGTCAGAGAGAGAGAGAGAGAGAGAGAGAGAGAGAGAGAGAGAGAGAGAGAGAGAGAGGCACGTGTGAGCATCCTATGCCCATTTTTAAAATTTATAATTCCACTCTAATCAAGAATTAGGCTTTGCAACATGTCATATCTCATACAAACAGCAAGCACACCTTTTTTCTCAATAAAAGTGTCAAAACCTTCATTGAGATCAGCTCCCACGTCTTCTGTTATTAAACGTTTAAAGAGCCTCTACAATCAGAAAATATAGCCTCAGGTGAGGTACGGCGCGAATTGGAAAAACTTGTTGACTTAAAGCAGGAAATGAACCAAAGAAAGGAGCACCGGAGAGCTCACCAAGTTGCGATCATCAAAGTAGACATGTCCACCTTCTACACGGCTATAGCAAGCAAGTTCACATGGCTGTTAAACAAATCAGCGCACATAATTATATTTCATACCATTCTAGGTCTTCCGAATCCGATAATATAATTTACCCACAGCATCTCATTAGAGAGGGAATCGATGGCTAATAGAAGTTCGTGAAAATTCCGAAAAGACCACTATTAATGTCATCTCAAAAAACAATGAAACTAAAAATCAGCAAGAAAACAACCACAATGATTCTGTTCCCATATTCGTTCTTCTGGTCATTCCACATTGCCATATAAAAGGCATGGTGTTCTCAGTCGTGAAATCCGCACAAATACCATCTAAATAATAAAAATACCAATAGTAATGGTGATCGATTTGTCGCGCATGCTCTGATTTATGCATGTGACAAATGAAGTGACAATCACATGGCTAAAACTGATGCAGCCAAAATCTAATCAAAAGCTATCAAATACCTCCTGAAATGCAATGCATCTCCTCGATAATGTTTCTTCGCTCTTGGAAAGCTTAAGTTCAGAAACAAAACGCTCGTCGCGATGACCATTGGCAAACTTCGGTCCGTAACCATAGTTTTGCCTTGGCGGATAAGGTCCAGGCCGGGGAAGGATACCTGCTCCTCTACCATTCGAATGCCCAGCCTGCCACCGACCACGACCAAAGGTCCCTCTGCCCTGACTGTTATTGGTGCGCATAGGGGGCAGTACTGCCAAGAGAGATACACTGATCAGGCACAAGGATGCAAAATAACGAAATAGACACAAAGTACCAATATTACTTTTTAGAGATTCTGCGAACTTACAGCCACAAAAGTCCTATTTGTTCAAATACAATGACTATTTGTTCAAAAAAAAGTGAAAATTGTCAAGTTTCACCCGCATGCGAAGCCTATGTTAGGCGATCCTATTGAATACTATTCCAAACTGTGGTGAAACTGAACTGCAACTTTCCCTCGAATCAACAAAGTACAGGAAAACGCGTGCACTCAGGGCTCCAATCATACACTATCAAAAACCAAAATATCCGGCAACAGGTAGACGGAAGCTGAAGAATCGCGAATAAGAGAATTGTACCGGGAATCGGAAAACGACTAGTAGCCGGAGTTTTACAGTACTCCTCGTTATCGGACCCGAACAGATCGGTCTCCTTCTCTTCGAACTCACTGCGGTGACTGTTCGTCACGCCACTAACATTCTCCAAATCCTCTCCGTTGTCGTCTCCTCTCCCGCCACTGCGAGGGCTTCCGCCGTCGCTGCTGCTATCCGCCCCGTCGGACGAAGATCCGGACGACGACGAGGACGACGCCGCCGAAGAGGAAGAGGACGATGAGGACGACCGCGACGACGATCCGGAAGACGATTGGCGGTTCGCGCTCCGACGCTCGCCGCCGCCGCCGCCGTCGCCGCCGCCGCCGCCGCCGCCGCCGTCGTAGTCTTCTCCGAAGACGTCCACGTCCTGCTCGGAGAAATCCATGGGGCGAGGTTTTAGCGACGGAGCTTAGGCGACGATCGTGAGCAGACGGTTTATATATTCCATTTCTGAACGGGGATTGGAGAGTGAGTCGAATGACTGAGGCGACTCGTTCCGTGACTCGGATGAAACGAGCCTCGTCTCGGTCTATTTGCCATTTTTAACTCGGTTCGGTGGAGACGGTTCCCGGTTCGGATTTCTCCAGACCGGTCACCGGTCCAATTAAGTTGATTATTTCACGAGTCTTTACAGTTGGGAGTCATCGGTTCCCGGGTTGGGCCAATTCCACCCTAGAAGTGCGAATTGGACCGGACCAGTTGGTCCCAGTCCGATTTTCGAGTTGGACCCGTCCGGTTTAGGATTTTGACAAATTTCTTTTCTTTACTCTTTAGAAGAAAAGGAAAATTATAAAAAAAAAAAAGGTTCAAGCGGTTTGGTTCTGCACCTCTAACTGGAAAATTGCCTAGAATTGATCGATTTGATCCGGTCCTATATGTTTCGGTTCTTGGGTTGGTCCGATTCTCATGTACACTCCTAATCACAGTCCAATAATAAAAAAGCACACAGATGAATTGCTAACTGTCTCAATGTATCTTAAGGTTAGTAACTTTTCCAATTGTATAAGAAAATGAATGAAACCATAAAATTATTTTTGATTTAGCTCATGAACTTAGTAACTTTTATTAAATTCCAATTAGTTGCAGCAAAGGCAAATCCAAAGGCTGCGTTTGGCCGTCTAAATATTTTTACTGGATAGGAAAGGTCGGATAAAATAAGGATGAAATAAAAGTTCTAATATCCTCTATATTATATAGTAAATGTCAAGACATAACACCCGAATCAAATCATCGTTCTCTCAGGTCATGTGACCACAATAAACGCAAAATTAGAAGAGCGCCAAAAGTGCATGGCAACAAGCATTAAAGCTTTCAAAAAATCGAATCCATCTTGCCATCACTTAAAACTTCAAAATCTCAACCAACATCAACTCCAAAATCACCACCAGCACGTACCTTGACTGATAAATTTTTCTCCATACTTCATGATCGATGTCCGCCTCTGTCGTGCAAGAATCATACTTTGTGTCGACCTAGTCTATCCACTAGCTCAGATGCAAGGCTTTCCGGCAAGGGAGAAGACGACGACGACGGCACAAGTGCTGCAGAGCTGGTAGAGCTCGAAGGCCTTCTTGTAGAGGCCCTTGTGCCTCTCTGAGTACGTCACGAGCCGGGCAACCGCGACCAGGTCACACACTTTTCTTCTCACGAGCATGCTGGTGAAAGGGAGGGCATAGGCGATGAGGGTGGCGGGGGCAAAGAAGAAAGCATTCGTGGTGGTGAGGGAGAGGGGGGTCCACGGTGCAATGCAGATTTTCGGGCGTATCCTATTCTTAGGTGGGATATTTTTATCCATGTCATATCCGTACATGTTCGAATTTTGCGTTGCTCCAAACACCGGATACAAACACTCACCACATCATACGAGAGGAATGAATGAACTCACAAAACAGCCATGTGTGACAGAAGAGTTACTTAGCTGTGATTGTATCACTCAGAATCTAAATAACTATTCTTCAATCCAACCAAAGTACGTGATTCCAAATGTCTATAGTTAGACTTGCCTTTCCATACGTCATCTTGTCTTTGCTTTCAAGTTCATACTTCAACTGTCAGTGAAAATTAGACGTGAAGAAAAATGAAAAGGTAAGAGGATCGGAAGAATGTGATGATTCAAGCATTAGAGATTAGTACTGACCATTTCTGATCAAAGCGTTCGGCCACAGCAAATTTCTAAACATGAATTATGGTATCTGTTTACCTTGTGAGACAGCATATGTACCTCACTAAATGAGAAAAAAAGTGCTTTACAAAGTTGACAATTTACAGTTCAGATAATGGGAATGATGTTAGAAAGGACTAATAAGTTTCCACTGGCATTAACTTGAAGATGACAGAAAAAACAAACAGAAGATTACTCTGTTTACTGGGCGTGAAGAAATCAATGACTCCAATCTCCAGGAAACTATAGGGTACACAAGTTTGATGTTTTGTTTTGACTTACGACAACTAGCGCATCACTAAGTATGAAGCTCATCTTTTGTTCGTCGGAAAGTGGAAACTAGTCGATCCTAGCCCATTTTCTGAACTCACGAACATGCTCAAGCCTCTTTCTCTGAGCTTCTGTTCTAGCCTCCGATGCACTTAAATTCCGGTAAAGATTCTTATGGAGCTTTAGGAACTCGTATCTGTACATCCCCTTATCAGCAAACAGTTTATGATCCATCATAAAGCTAATTACCTCCATTACTCTCTCAAAGTAACCGCCTCGAATAAAGCTCAGCACCAGGGATTCACAAAGATCCCTGCTTATTACAAAATTATCCTGCGTCATACTCCTTTTCATGTCCCCCCACAAGATGGTTATATCGCGGTACATTTGCCAAGATGAATACCCACGTACCAAAATTGCAAAGGTTTGCTCGTTGGGCTGGATTTCCATTTCTTGCATTCTTCTATAGGTTTTCAAAGCATCCTCCATCATTTTGGCCTTGCAGAAAAAGTAAATCGAGGTATTCAGCTCGTAAAGCACACACGGAGTGGACTTTTCCTCCTCTTCCATAGTTTGGACCAGCATCTTGGTCAGATCAGAATATTCAACAGCAAATGACACATTAGAACTGGGTTCACTTGTGGCTGCTTTCTCCAGAACAGAAGTGAAGATGGTCGTCTTATCAAAATAACTACTGAGCACACCACTCTTCTTCATCTGTTTTACCAGTCCATTTGCCTCCTTAAGCATGCCTCGTTCATAGTACGCTTCCAGAAGTGCGATATGCGCAGAAGAGTCAATAGCAGCCCCAGCAAATTCAAAGTCATCCAAGAGATCGTGAGCAGTCTCTGGCCACCCTACGCCTATGCACGCATTGATCACACACAGAAACAGATGATATCTGCCCAATGACGCATTCTGCTCCTGGATACTTAACAAAAGCTTCGAAAGCTCACCGATCCTCCCAATTCTTCTGTATCCATATATGAACTTGGCAAGAGCTTTGTTGGTGAGGTTGAATTTTCCATTCCTAACTGCAACAAGATCTTCTTTCCTTTCCGCTTCAAAGGGACGATCAATATCCAGTTGCTCGGGCAGAATTCTCATCTTCAGTCCACTCTTGAGATTGGAAGATCCAACTGAGACAAGGTGAGGCCTCTGTTCATTGTTCAGAGGAAGAGCCTCGCGATATCTATCCAAATCCAAGACAAGTTCAGCAGCAGCACTGATATCAGTAAACTTGAAGTGCAAGCTCAACAGACTATTATAGAAAGACTGATAATGAGGAACAAGTGCAACTGGAATGCGATCAACATAACCCTTATAGTTCTTAATCTCATCCCTCTGCCCATTCATCTCATAAATCTGTGCAATGATATTAATCGAGTGTGCATCTGCAACTACTCCTGACTGTGCCATAAACTCGATTATGTCTTGTCCTTTTAATGCCGATCCAAACCTCACACAAGCATCAAGCACTAAATTAAAGATAATTGTGTCAGACTTCATCTTGTTTCGAAGATTGCTACCACATATAGTTATGTGCTGGTAAGAATCAGACATCTGAAACAGTAGATTGGATGCAAGATATGTCCCAATCTCTGTCTTAACCATATGCAGTAGTACTAAATTCAATATGTCAAAGGGTGGTAGATACTTCTTCTCCAGCAGCAATCTGAGGATCATTGAGGCAGGAACGGGCATTTTAACTCTCGCTACTGAGAGAGCCAACTTAGCTAGAACTTCGACATGAAAAAGGTGTGATTTTCTCTTCCAGTGCTTGAAAACTAAATCACAAGCTCTGCGTAGCCATTGTGGGTCGGATGAGTACGAAAGTCCAGTGAGTAATCTATTGATGAGAGAACAATCGGAAATATCATATGACTTTCTATAATCCTTAAATATATCCCAGGCTTCTTCTATTTGGTGATCTTTAAGTGCAACTCCAAGTTTCTCCAGCAAAAGTGCTCGAGTTGAATTTGGTGCTATTTTAGTGTTTTTGCAGAGTATGAACTCTCTATTTTGCCTCCGTGACAAAGCTCTCTTCTGATTGAAGTAAGGAAAAAATAATCTCAAGAGATGGCTCTTTCCAGTGCAATGATGCACAATAATCTCTCCTCGTGTCGTTAAAGCCATTCATATACAAGTCAGTATAACCCAACACTTGCACAAGCCTAGAAATAGTTTCAGCAGAATATCTTCATCTCGCATTATTGGCTATCATAGATGACTGCATTACTAACCTCAAGTGAGACACCCCCTTCATCAACTCTGCTTGACAACCAGGGTTACTGGGTTAATGGTCAGGCTTTCGATAAGCCGACACCCGGTTGCACCGATTTGAGGAATTCAATCAAGCATCAAGGCCTTTGATGAGTAAATGACCTGTCTTTGCATTTCAAAGCCGATCTATGCAAACCGAAAAGCTTCAAGCTCACCGAGAAGCATCTTTTGATCCCAGCAATTGAACAACTTGACCCTACAAAAACCTGTATATTACAAGGGAAAAGACAAGCTTTAGTAATGCAAGTACTCATTAAAGAAGCTTTGAAATGGAATCTAACAAGAGGATATTGCGAAAGAAAAGGAACAAAGAACATAAAACTGAGCACCATACCCCTGTATATCACCGTTAATCATCTCCTAAAAATCTTATCTTCTGTAATGCGTAAATACGAGCAAGAACGTGGACAGTATAATCGTGCTTACGAATAAATAACAGCAGTACAGTGGCAATTGAAGTTTCTAGAAGACATAGCGCTTCCCCAATTAAGACGATGAACACATCTCGATTGTTATACAGCATGGTCTTGGGAACGTCAAGAAGTTCGAAGCATGTGCGAGAAGTGTGCAATTGATCACTATGAAGTTAAAATACTGCTTGGGCATTATGTCGAACAACGCATGTGCATGCTCTCACCCTCAAAATTGAGAGAGCTAGACTAGTGCAGGAGCTACACCACCATACTTTTCTCAGCACCCCTTTTGGATGATCTCATTCAACCCACATGAATTGAAGATCGAGAAGCAGTAAATGGAAAAAAGAACGATGAGGGTGCTAAGGGTGTTTCTGAAGCATGCCTGTGGACATGGGGTTTCCATGGGAATTGTGGGCAGCCTCAGAAAGTGGCTGTGGTCAGGCCGAGAAATGGATCCAATTTGTCCACGCATGGACGCGTTACTCAATCAAATGTATACAGCTTCAAGCTTCCTCCATTGATGAGCACGTCCGGACGAGTTAAAGCTGAGCTGCTCGACGCTACTCGGGGAGTTGGAAAAATTCGACTCAAAGTAGGTCACTAACACATTATCAAACGGTCTAATTTCATTACAGGGTTCTTTCTCTCGATCAAACTAACATTTACGGTCGAATTGAGTAGAGCTGGTTGACCGCTTTCCCAGCTGAACCACGAGTTTTGCATAATTAAATTGAATTGAGTTAAGCCGAGCTAAAATGTTAAAACATATCAACTCGGTCTAATTTCATAAGTAAGCATTTATAAATATTCTGTCTCTAGCTTAAATTAACATTTTCGGTCGAATTGAGTGGAGTTGGTTGACTACTTCCTGAGTTGAACAACAAGTTTTGCATAATTAAATTGAGTCGAGTCGAGCCGAACTAAAATATTAAAACGGGTCAACTCGTTTTAATTTCAAAAATAAGCATTCATAAGTACTCTATCTCTAGCTTAAATTAACATTTTACGATCGAATTGAGTGGAGTTAGTTGGCTGCTCCCCAAGCTGAACATCGAGCTTTGCATGATTAAATTGAATAGAGTTGAGTAGAGCTAAAATGTTTAGACAGGTTAACTCCATGTGAACTGAATTACACTCTTGTAAGTCATCAGGGCCACGCGGCCTACTTAGCCCGAAAGGAGAGTGGGCGGGCTTAGGCAGGAGTATTGCACAGACGAACGACTTGACTGGAAGATTTAGTGGTAGAAACGCATGAAAAATTTGGCTACCGTTACCAGTTCTTTCAAGAACCAGAAACGAGCAAAAGAATTATCAGCTAAGATCTTAGTAGATACAGGGAGAAGGTCGTCTTATTGCATGAATCGAGATCGAGTTGAATTTTATTTTTTTTTCTTTCCAATTCAATAGGTTTGATTAATCTCCAAATCCAACTAAACCTACCCCAAACCATGAATGTCGCAAGCAACTTCTTCTCAATAAGTATTGCAGATGGAGCAATCCTCAACCAGGATTTAGCACTATCAAAAGCTAAAAAAGATTTGACAAAACTTCACCCTATTGCACAATCATCTCTACAGTAGGCAAAGTTCCATCCTCGAAGTAATGCAGATACTTTGGCCTCAAAATGAAGTATCTCACATTCTCTCAACAAATTTAGTGGTGAAATAGGAACTTAATTGTCGCGATTCTCATATACAACCTCCTTAGGTGGCAATCTCCTCAACCGCAGAATGGAACACAAAACTAGGAAACGTCGTTGTTATATCCCTGCAAGAAAGAATGTACTCCAAAGAATGAGTTTCAAGTCTGACTACATTATAGTCACAACCTGGATATAACCATATTTTGGCTGACCTTAAATAAGGGAGGGTCATAATCTTGAGCAAGGATGGATTTCTAGAAACAAAGTTTCGCCATTCGCACTTATCTATCTTCCCATCCTCGTTTACATCAGCTTCGAGAAAAGTCTGCCACAAACGGAAGTGTACCACAATCATCGAATCAGCATGTGAAAACAATTATGTCGACTTAATCCTACTAGAACCTGTGCTATATAGCCAGCTCTGGCACTTAACCTAAAGGAATTGGATCCAATGAGAGATGAGAGGCTTAAAAGAGGGCCTAATGAGTATATCAAGATAATAATATCTCGTTCCATGTCCATTAAGATGGATCCAATTAAAGTGAAGAAGAATAAGTTCAGGAACAGTTGGGGCAAAGAAACAAAAAAGTTAACACGGGATTACCTAACCCTGCCAACAACAATAATCTTCAACAACTTCTTAAACAATCACAAATAGCTTTCTCTTTTGATTATCTCAGCAACAACTGCTCACCTTGTCAAGGATTATCTCAATCGTTTCGTCAGCTAATCTCATTTCTGATTCACATAGAAGAGCTATCAACATTTGCTTGACCTGCCGACATCAGATGGATGCCTCTATCAGTAAACTAGGATACCCAAACACTTACGAGAATACCATCAAATTCCAATCAGCATATCCAGACAAGAAAAGAATTTTCAATAAATGTCTGTAAAGCTGCAATTTTACTGTGCTTTAAGAACTCTGGACAGATGCTATCATGTGCATCGCATTTGAGCTTTTCCCCTTGAGGCTAGATGAGGGGGAGGGACATGGAAAAGAGTGAAGCGTATATTTGCCCAAGTCCCATCTCCACCATCAACCAATGAAGGCTCATTAATGACGGACTTTACAACAGCTCTCTCATAGATGCCAAATGTGGAGAAACTAACAAGCATATCTTTACCCAAGTTCTCCCCTCCACAACCAACCGGTTAAAAGAAATTTGCTCGGGAGACTTGGAGGACAAATCTCTTAATAGCACTCTATTGCTATATATGTCACAATCGCTGAGTTATGCGAGCTCCTAGGAAGCCAAGTTACGTGCCTAGTTTGATGAACTAAGAAACCAATGAAAGAAAAGCAATTAAAGACAGAATGCAATTAAGGTGAACAAAATTCCACAGGCAAACCTAAGAAGAAACCAAAGGATAGAAAGGAAGTATCAGATTATTCTCACTTAAGCAAAAAAAAAAAAAGTTGATGATTAATCAATTAATCAGCTTACCTCATGCCGCTCAATGAATCCCGTGCTATCCAAATCATAAAGCTTAAATGAAACTGCAATGATACACACCCATATAATCATACAAAAGTACGAATTACAAAATCCTGAATGCTTAGCGGGTGTCTGCAACTGTAAATTTTGAAGGTACTTCCTGCAGCCAATGACTTACAATTAATCTTGTCTTCTTGAGGGACATTAGGATGGAAAACATTGAGAGATCTAACAAAGTCACCAAAGTCAATGGAGCCAATGTGTTTAACGTCAAAAAGATCAAAAATCTGCAATTCAGAAAACTTCAATCTAAGAATACATCTTATTTTTATTGAAACGCAAAACATGAAGTGAGCAACAAAATCAATTGAGATGTCAGCGGACAGTGGAAGATGTGCTAACTACATAGAAGTTATGAGCCTCAACGAAGGGAGCTTCTAAGAAAAGTTATTGTAGCACCACATGGCATGCAACTATCATCATAAGGTCTCTTGATTTGAAAATAAATGGGTGCTATAACTACATGAAACCAAAATGGACAAACATTAATTACCCTGTTAGCAAAGAGATTCTCCTTCTTTCTGTTCTTGAATAAAGCCAATTGAAACTCTTCCTGCATAAATAACAGAAGAATTCAAATTCTCTATAATATCAAAAGTCAAAAACAAGAAAGTAAACATATTAGAATTACATCCTTAAAGAAATGAAGAATCTTCCAAGAACACACGCAAGAATAGAAAAGAATGTGGATTGGGCCAGAATTATGAGACTGAAACACACTACAGAAAATAACGTATGCATAACAGCACCTTGCAGAAGAATACATGCCCGTTACCTTATTTATTAGCCCATCATCAATCACAGAGCTGCTGATACTCTTGTACAGCTCAAACAGTGCTTCAACTTCGCTGACACTAACTGGCCAATCACAGAATAACATGAGTGGATTAAATCAACTGTGGAGATTAGTGCATGAGAAGAGAAAGAGAGGTTGCACTGAGTGGCACTAGGACTCATCATGAAATGTAAGACAGAATTTTATTTTCCACTTTTCTAATCAACAAAATTGGCATCTCAGAGTTGCATATTGTCCATTTCCTGTAACTTGAGGAATTCAACTTTTCTATAACGTGGCCTATTGACACAGTTAATAAAAAGTATTTACAATGTTAGGAAGTGTCCCATTGCACTAAACAATGCACTTCTTCTCTTCACCTGATGTATCATCTTCAATATTTAAGCAGGGCCAACCTAAATCAATTACCAATTATCAAATTTCAAATTGAACAACAGCTTATGAAGACCCATTGATTTAACAATAGATGTGAGCTGGTATTGGACATTACTGCAATAGCTTCAAGGTTTTCACCCTAGCCACATCTCAAGCTTAAAAATAAAGAAGAAAATCTTCGGGCGGCCTTCATGTCATGCAAAAACTATTCTTACCAAAGCCTAGAAAGTTGTCCCACAGGTAACTGAATCAGAATTTCAAACAGAATCTATCCAGACAAAGCTGAATTGCCTTGATCTGCTAACTACTAGCATACAAATGGTAAAGGTTATCGCTTTGCAACATGAAAGATTTGCCACTGATGTGAGGACTTACAAGCTGTTTGGGAAGCGAGGGCCATGGGGTCCTCGTATCCAGGGAACTCTTTTCTGTGGGACGACGGTAAACAGCCCATTTACCGAAGAAGAGAGAGGAAGCAGCGGACTACTAGCCACTCGATGAGCTTCACTACAACATATTATCAAAACCATCTCAACCTTGAAAAGCGCAAACCAAATCGAAAGATCACCATGTGAAACAATAATAACCGAGTGTTTATCATTCTAAAGTATTACGGAGAAAAAAAGGAAAAAAAGAACGTAACTAGAAAAACAATGACGTATAACAAAAAAACAGTTATATCACAAGCCAAAATTCAAACTTTTAGATTCGCCAAGCTATAAGTTTCATTTGAAATCTTTGCCTGAGCCTCTTAAGACTACATTCTTAAGAAAAAAAAGGACGAAACTATCTGCTGCTGCTGCTGCTGATCCTATCGAATGATTATGAAGGCTCAATCAACAGACCCGCTGGCTATCGCTCGGCGATTATCACTAAAAATCACTTCTTTTACCAGACAGCCTTATGATCCAATTCAGGACTCAGGCACGTTGTCACGATTAAGCTTCAAAAACACTCCCTTGCGTCATCCACCCAAACATTGACAAGACAAGAAATTCAAGCGCCAAAGTTTCATAAACGTCGCTCATCCTTTCGCCGTCGATCGAAACAGACTCCACATTTCAACTCGAACATGAAGAACATGAACAAAAACAAGCGCCTCATCCAAGAAAACCGAAAGCAGGAAAACAAAAGCAATCCAGCGAAGGAGAGAACAAGAACATCGTAAATTAAACCAGGAATCGAATCCTAGAACAGAGCAACGTTAACGCGGAAAATCGAAACCGCACGTACCGACAGAATCGCCGGCTGGATAATGCCCCGTCGCGAACGAAACCGCAAGACGATTTTAGAGAGAGAGAGAGAGAATTGTAGAGAGAGAAGTTGAAGCTGGTCGGGCGCCTCTGTTTTGTCTGTTGCCTTTGATTGGTGACTGGCGAGAGAGGGAGAGGACGGAGGGAAACGAACGGAAGCTCCAGTGAAGGGGAGAGCATCGACGGCCCGTGGCGGGAGCAACTCGATCGGACGGTCGAGAACTGGCGTGGGCGATTCGGCTTTTGACCAGTGTGTTTCTTCTTTGGCCAGTTGACCTGTGTGAACGACACGTGTCGTTTATTTATGGTAAGAAGAATAATGTGGGTCGGATATTCTTATTTCCGGAGTTATGACAAAGATTTGGTGACCATATTCCATAACATTAATTTTAACGGGGTGTGAATAGTGGTTATGTGCTTTTCATTGCGAGATACTTTCTGAGCTGTAAATATTAATTCAATTTTAAACTTTTTTTCATTTTATTAATTTAGTCATAAATCTTTATTTAAAATTTTAATGTAGTCCCTCTGCTTAATTTTTGCTGAAAATTGCTGACGCGACGGTTGGGTAATTGCTTGTCGGCTATCCTATGTGAAAATTGACTGGAATGACTGTATTGGAATATTGCGTAAAGATTTAAGACTAAATTGGCAAAATTGAGAAGTTCATGACCGAATTAGCATCCGTACAATAGGTTATGATTGATTAGACAATCTCCCTACTTTCTGCTTGGACTCGTGATCAAGTCTGCCGTTAATCCAACGATTATGAAATTGGTATGGTTTAGAAAATTGTAATAACCCTATAGGATTAATGTTGTAGAGCCCAATTAGAAGGGGCCCATTGGTATTTCTCAATGTCAAATTCTCTTTATCCCCTACAATAGTCTGCCGGACCTCCAAAACTAAACGTGTAGCCCCAAGTCCCCTTATTATATCGATAATTCCTCAGAGCATAGACATTAGATTTATCCACCACCTCTTTCGTGTTCTTCGAAGGAGGTAAGACGGCCCCGTCCACTCGACCCCAATTGAGCCGTCGGAAGTACGTCGCGCGCACAAAGTCGTGATCACCGTCGGGCTTGTGGCCGCTTCCCATCGGAGGACAAAATCCATTTCTCCAGGCGAAGCCATCCCCTCCCCAAGCTACATGTAGCAAGCCGTGTCGTAAATTCAAGAACAATTCCTCGGGCCAGTAACCCACACTGATCGGTGGTTCGGACACACGCAACCGCCAATTTCCAAAAGTTCGGTCCTGGTCAGAAAGCAAAGCTTGTTACCAAAGTCCAGTCAACCTTTGCAATTTATTGACATGCGCGTGTCACGGGTCGATCGATCTAGCATTTCCTTTCCCATACGACCTTAGGAATTTCTCTGGGTCGTGACACATGCATTTAGAATTATTGATTAAATGTGAAATAATTTAATCGTTTTTGCAAATTAAAACTATCATATAAATGGCCCGTTTGGTTCGGCTTTTCAAATGCAACTTGGGGGAATGCAAATACCTTTAGGTGAAAGCCACTTGGGGAAATGCGAGTGATGTTTGGTAAAAAAAATTTTGTGAAGCTGCTTTGGCCTAAGTAGTGTTTGGTAAATTTTTTTTTGCAAAGGGCTTTGGCAATTTTTATTCTTAATATTCCGGTTTCACCTCTATTACTGTTCATCTTCTTCACCGTGAGGGTGGCCGACGAGGGTGGCCGGCGAAGGGCCGGCAAGGGCGGATCTGGCCGGCGAAGGGCCGGTGAGGGGCCGGCGAGGTCGCCTGACCTAGGCGACGGCCGCCTGGGGTCAGGCAACCGCCCAGGCGCCGTCGCCTGGGTCGGTGGTCGCCCGGGCAACTCCGGTAGGCCCACCGCCGACCCAAGCGACGGCGCTGGGCGGTCGTCCGACCCCAGGCGGCCGTCGCCTGGGTCAGGCGACCTCGCCGGCCCGTCGCCGGCCAGATCCGCCCTCGCCGGCCACCCTCACGGTGAAGAAGATGAACAGTAACAGGGCAAAATCGGAAAATTGAAATTTGAGTGAGGGCAATTTGGGAAGGGAAAAATAGGCTTCAGCATTTGTGGAATGCCGAAAGGCCAAAGCTGGTCCGGACTAGCTTTGGGCTTTCGGCATTCCAACGGCATTCCAAATGCTGGCTTTCGACTTTCGAGGCCGAAAGCCCCTTCCCAAAGCTGAACCAAACGGGGCCAAAATACTGATCGAGGAAAATATTTTTCTCGAGAAAAAAAATCGCGAATCAAAATTACCTGTTGAATTTGGATTGGGATCTCGTATATCTCTCCGCCATAAACGGAAGTCGGGGACACCCGATAAGTAGAAGTTACTTGACTATCTACCTGGACAAGGCCCGGACATAATACATTGTAGCATCCATTACGACCATTACCCAATAAGAATGATGCTCTCTAGTCAACAATAGCCCTACTTAGAATTCAAGTGTTAAGTAAAGAACTAAATTAATTATTGTAAAACTAACCGTCCAGTACGTGAATAATTGAATAATCTTGTGAGAGTATCGCCGTATAATAGGGGACAAACCTGGTAATAAAACTTCGGCCTGTTAAACTGTTCATCAATTTCATATAAAGGAAAAAAGAAACAATCTATTTACAACTGCAATTTCACTTACCGTCCAACCGGCTGCGATAGCACTGACATGGCCCGGAGGACCGGATTCAATCACCATATAATGTGTATTGCGCTGGTCAGGAGCAACGGTAAGATTGAAGACGGATGTACTCCCAAAACCTCCATATTTAACATTTGCTACCATGTCATCTTTCAACAAAACGAGCTGCAACAAAAAGAGACATTTTTATTTATCAGAGGGGTAAAAAGCTATTTGCGATTATTTTTTGTTTTTTTTTTTATGTAATACTAATGAAGCTTGAAAATTATAAATAGCTATAGGTGACCACCGGCTAGATTGCTCGTGAGTCTCGAACAGAAAATGGGCTATAGTTTGAACAAGCGTCTTTTAAATTCCATGGATTTGGCTTAGTTGTTGAAGATATGATTTTTGTACTTGAATTATGGACTCAACATAAGTTAGATCCCGCTCATCATCAACTAGGGGTGTCAAAAATACCCGCTCAAACATGACCCGACCCGAACCGACCCGACCCGAACAAGAAATTTTCTCATTGGGTCGGGTTGGCCTTAACTTATTTGGGTAACAGTATAAACAAGGCTTAAGCTTGTTTTGGATCTACCCGAACCCGTCCGAAACAAGGCCACCCAAAACAAACAAGAGCCATTTGTTCTTCTTGCTCCAAGCTGCCCCAAACCTTGTTTATCGTGATAGTGCGACGCGATCTATCATCTTCTTCCAGAGCTCCGGATCTGCAACCGAGTAGTGCGACGCAAAGGCAACTGGCGGCGACGATCGGCGTCTTCGCCGCCGGCGCCACCCTGATTGCGGCTGGCATCACCAAGTCGGCGAAGTAGGGTTCTGTAGTGTTCCAGAAATATTCTCATGGGTTCGTGACCAGAAGTTCTCTGTTCAACGAAGGTAAATCTGCGAGGAAGGGAGCGAAGGAAGAAGAGAGAGGTCAGTCGAATCGAACGTGTGCCTTGAGATTTTGCGTTAAAATCTCCGCCTCCGGCTTCTCCTCCCCTGTATCGGATCGTTTGCGGTTCTGGGTTGGTCTCGGCTTCGGCTCCCCTCATCTGGGTTCAGGTGCTCGACCGGCGTTCGGTCTTCGGTCCGGGTGAGTTGGGTTGCTCTAGTCTCCCGCATTTGTATTCGTGGGTGATTCCGGCTCTCTGCGACTTGGGTCGTGCCCTATTTTCATTGCTTTTACTGTCTTTGGTGTGGGTTGAATTCTCGAGTTTGGTTTGGCTTCTCAACTGGAAGTGGAAGTGCCATCCTTTGTTGAAAGTCCTGTTCTTACCTTGCTGGCATTTGCTTTTCTCTTTTCCCTCTTTGTTGCGTGATGAATGAAATTAAAAGGTGTGTGATTGTATCGAGAGTTTTCTCAGTTCAATTTTTTGTGTACTTCTTGTTGTTCTAGCAGCTGATCTTCGCTTTGCTAGTGGGACTTAAGCTAGCACCACCTTGTGGTGTGATTTTAAGGCAACATCTGTTTGTGGGATGACCATGTTTTGACTGATCTCTGTTCAACAGAATGAGGAACCCATATGGATGCTTACACGTTTCGTTCATTGTTACATTGTCCTTTACGTGATTAATACAACCCCTAATTCACAATGCTGGTTGGTTTTTTATAACAGAACGTTGAGCAAGAATGCATTGAGAAACAAGAAGAAAAGGGAGAAATAAAGGGAAAATAAATCTGCAGAGGCCAGTTCTGCCTCAAGTGATTCATGATATGATAGTTAATGTGAGTTGCATGTCTAGAATCTTGGTCACTGGTTTGATTTCCTGTGCATAACGAAGAGGTCATAGGGAAAAACAACGGCGCAATGCCTTCTGGCAATTCCTTTAGAGTGGAGCTACTCCAATGCTGCCGGTATTGGGCTTTTGAGTGAATATTGGAAGACGAACTTGTGAAGAGATGGCTCAGTGTACTTCTTTGCTCTCTGTTCACCGTTCTTTGAATTTATTGTGGTGAGGGGGCAGCATCGTGCCAACTTGGAACTCCTTTTCTTCGAATAATGTTCAAATATCCGTGAAATAGCATAAATTGTTCGACTTACTTAGCTTCTACTAATTTGGCGATTGAGTCGTGTTCCCGTGTGTCTTGGTCTATATATCTATGCATAACGAAAGCTATTGCCAATAGAGCATTCTTGAGAGCTTTGGTCTATATATCTAATTTGGTGTTCCCTCTTTCTAAAACACGAACCCAACCCGACCCGAACATGACCCGAACCGACCTGATTGTGTGGCTATATCATGTTCGGATCTTGTTTCGGGTCGGGTCGGGTATAATGAAAACCCGATCCTATCCGACCCGACCCTGTTGATACCTATTTTTAATTTGCCCAAAATTAATTGCACAAAATTTAGGAGTTAATTTTGTTTAATTCCTAAAACAAAAATATTTCAATTTAAATATATTGCACATAGAAATTAGGCACATTTTGCATTAATAGGGTCTATTAGAGAAGATTAAAAAAAAAAAATCGAGTCGGGCCGGGTCGGATCTGGGCCGACCCGTCCCATTTCTTTTTTTTCTTTTTCCCCCCGGGCCCGGCCCCTTTTTCTTTTCTTTTTTTCCCTTCGCGCGAGCCCGGCCTGCTTTCCTTTTCTTTTCTTCTTTTCCCCCCTCCGCAGCTGGGCCTGGCCCGGCCCAGCCCTTCTTCCTTCCTTCCTTCCTTCCCGGGCCCGCTTTCCTTTTCTTTTCTTCTTTTTCCCCCCTCCGCAGCTGGGCCTGGCCCGGCCCAGCCCTTCTTCCTTCCTTCCTTCCCCCTGCGCCGGTCGCTCTCTCCTCCCCTGTTCTCCCCTGTGCGCGACCGAAGCGTGACGCACGGCGGCGGCGCTCCTCATCGTCGTCATCCGGTCAGAGGAGGCTCAGGTGAGCACGCCGACGGGACTGGCATTAATGGCCAGTCCCGTCCTCCCCATTTCCCCTCTCCCTTATCCCCTCCTCCCCTCTCGGTTCTCTGCACCCTCTCTGCACCGGCCCCCCTCTGCTCTGCTCTGCACCGGCCTGCCATGGCCGCGAAAGTCGCGGGGCAGGTAGGCCGGTGCAGGCCGTCGTCATTGCAGACGTAACGAAGCCGGGGGACGCGGTCGTTGGCCTATAAAAACGAGAGAGAGAGAGGGAGCCCCGGTCGGCCATTTTTCAGAAAAAAAAAAAACAGAGATAGAGAGAAGAGAAAGAACAGAGAGAGAAACCGAGAAGAGAGAGGAGCCTCGGAGGGTCTTGCAGGTCCCAGCCGGCCTCGTCGTCACCAGCAAGCCGATCGGCAACTCCCGGAAGCAGCCCCGGTCGGCCGTTTTTGAAAGACAAAGTGAGAAAAGAGAGAGAAAGAGTGAGTTTAGAGCGTACCGAGATCACGCCGGAGTACGAGCGAGAACCAGCAGCGTCGCCATCGTCCCCCGACCAGTCGGAAGCCTCCCAGACGCGCCGTCGACCGGTGAGTCGTCCCCCGGCCCGAACTGCTATGTTCTCCCCTGTTTTTGCTCCCGGTTTGGCCGGGATCCGCGCCGGCCGTTTCGCGTGAGTCCCGGCCCATACCGCCGTCCCCCGCCGTCCGTGCATCATCGTTAAAGGTAAGAACAGGTTTCCCGAGGACGGCGGGGCCTCGAAACAGGTCGGAATCTCCTGTTTTTGGTCGCGCACGCCCGGTGTTCGACAAAATGCCTCAAAGAGGCCGGTTTTTAATTCGGTCGCCGGCCGGCGAGCGGTGGTCAAACGGCGACCCAGGTGGACGGCGAGGCTTGGCGGTGTTCCTAGAAGCCGATTTGGGGGCGGCGCTGGCCTGGGTCAGCCGGCGGACGGCCAATTTTGGCCTCTCCGGCGCCCCCTCCCCGCGAGTCTGTATATTCGGGTCAGATTCGACCCGAATCAACAGATTCGACCCGGGTCAACGCCCGGGTCGGATCTGTTGACCCGGGTCGGTTCCGGCCCGATCCGGATTGACCGATCCGACCCGGGTCAACGCCCGGGTCGGATCCGTTGACCCGGGTCTGTTTCGACCCGGCCCGGATCCGCAACCCGACTCGGTTTAATATTATATTAATATTTTTATTTTATTTTTTTAAAAAAATTTTAATTAAAAAAATTTTAAATTTTTTTTTGTTTTTTTGTTTTTTTTTCTCCTGTACTATATATATTTCGAAAAAAAAAATTTCAAAATTTAAAAAAAAAAAAAAATCTTTTTTTAAATATTATTGTGTGATATATTCTAAATGTTTAATTTATTGTAGTATTATTGTGCATATTTTTGTCTTGTTTAAATTAGACAAGCCTGAGATTGCGCGGTAATATTTTGCATGTTATTTTTATTATCGCTGTATTATTATGCATGTTTTTAATACAATCGCATGAGTTGTGTTTTGAATGTCATCGACTTAGTTAAGGTTAGAACCTTAGGCTGCATGAATTGTTGTGTTCCTGACTGCTGATCGTTTCTGATTATGCACTCGCTTGATCACCTCACATGTTAGGAGAAAGGTCCTAAAATCAATCCAAATTGCCTGACAAATGTTTTCAGAAATGAACAGGGTAAAATGGTACCGAAAGGGCATTAGTTATCCAACTAGTGTAACCAAGTCCCCGAACTCATTTAATCTCTGGTTCGTAGGAATAGGGTGATTCTCCCATCACCCTATTTGGGTTTCTAATCGACCCACCCCAAATCGATTAGTGGCGACTCCTTGATATAAACCACTTGCATGTTAAAAACTTAAACCCTAAGTCGCGATATGATATGGGCTTGGGAGAGCCCGAGTTAAGTCCCGAATCTAGACTTAGCACGTACCAGGCGAGCCCCCCCTTTTTTTGCATGTTGTTTAAAAAGGGCTCGGGAGTTCGGTCGCGACAGACCCATTGACACCCCTATCATCAAGTGTAAACAACTCCTTGTTTGGGGCGCTGACCCGAGCTTAGGTTGGCCGCCCATGTCTTACTTGGTCTATGCGATTAGTGAAATATTTCATAGATATAACATACGTCTATTGATAGACTATCTTTATCATAAAATAAAAAAATAATCAACATATTGGATAAAAAAAAAGTCGCACGCCTCTGCCCAGGCATGGCTAAATCCAGATAGCCTATATATATATATATGTAAAAAAAATAATACATATCGATATATATGTATAAAATTTATACTATAATGGTCGAGCTTGCATTACCAAATTAGGTTTAATCATTAGGTTGTGAATAACTGTCCAAAAATCCTAAACCTTTTATACACGGCCAATTTAGTCCTAATTGTCCAAAATAATGTAGTCGTCCTGGCCAAAATTGGCTAAGAAAATGCTTATGTAGATACCTTTTTTTTTTTTGCTAAATGCTTATGTAGATACCTAGTCATTGTCGATATAGATCTAGACGGATTTTGTAATTTTGTAATTTTTAATTTTTTTCCTTTTTTTAATTTTTAATTTTTAATTTTTTTTCTTCCTAAGATTTTCGGCGAACGGGGTCTGGCGACCCTCGTTTGGCCACAAGTGAGAAAGAAAATAAAAGACAAGGAAAAATTGTGAATTTCTTTGAAAATTGGCCAAAATTATCTATGTTAGCGCCTGCCATCATCGGCTGTGTCATGTAGAACAACCAGTGTTGACTAGGCATCCATGTAATGAGAAGACTATATTAGCAAATCATCAAAATGTTCATGACTAAATTAGCAAAATTGAAAAGTTTAAGACCGAATTGGCCATTGTACAATAGGTTGAGGCCTTTTTGCACAATTTTCCCTATGACTCTATGAGCGTGTTCGACTCGAGTTAGTCCAATAATCATTTCTATTTATGAGCCATAGATTTTATAATATGAATCATGACAGGGGGTTCCTAAGTCTAACCCAAGGGATATTCATTTCTGTGTATAAAGCTTGTGGGAAAAGAAACTAATTACTCTTCTTCCTTCCAACTTTCTCAGTCTTATCTTATTTAATGATCTAAACTATTGCAATTCATACATATATTGACGTATAGATTCTTATATTTCTTTTTCATAAATTATTATCATTAGATAACCTTTTCGTTTTATAATTTTGGAAAAGCTGGAATTTACAAAAACAAAATTGAAAAAGATACAAGATGTAAGTTTTAGGTGAAAGCAATACATCCTGCCACCATTACGAGAGAGAGAGAGTACATGTTGACTTGTAGAAGCATCCTTTAGCCCCTCAGCTTGTATAGATGAAATCCTGGGCATGGTTCTTGCCCTTCTCAAATCTTTTTTTGTTACTTGAGGAATGGGTACTGTTCCGGTCGGGCAAGGTTTTCTCAAACCGAAAGGTACAAATTTTGCATTTGAAGAATTACCAAGATGAAATCTAGTGGAATATAAATTTGGATTTTCCTGTTAAGCAAAAGAATCGATCATAGGATATCGAAGATTATCTATATAACTATAGTTGGGAAATGCGACATCATTATACGAATATTTACCTGAACTTTGTGATTTTCCAATAGAGGATGATCCAGTGCCGG